GGAGTTCAATACCAGCCTAGGCAATATAGCGAGACCTTATCTCTACAAAAAAGCCAAAAAATTATCTGGGGATGGTGGTACATGCCTATAGTTCCTGCTATTCAGAAGGCTGAGGCAGAAGGATCACCTGAGTCCAGGAGGTCGAGGCTGCAGTGAGCTGTAATCATGCCATTGCACTCCAGCCTGGGTGACAGAATGAGATCCTTACTCCCAAAACAAAAAACAAAACAATAAAAAATCTGTGATTTTTAAAAACCTTGAAACCTGAATCTACTTGGAGTATATACTACATATGATAAAATTCATCAAACTACTTTAAACTTCTGCTGGTTGGCTTGAGGTTATGCCTAGACCACAAGAAAACTATGTCAGAGCTCTAGCAACTTTTGAATGTACTGGGCAGAAACAGAAAGATTTATAGGCATAAAAGGTACGCTCTTCAATAGCAAATGGCATCCATGTACTATGAATGATATGCTAAGCAAAAAGGAAGATGTATAAGGCAGTCCTGAGGCACAGGATTTTGCTTTCTGGATCAGAATGATGAATTTTAGGCAAAGAAGACTCATGCCATATGCCAGGGAAGAAATGCTGAATATGATAAATACAGAAAAAAGGCAGAGCATGGACTAGATACTACAGAAGAAAAAACATAGAAAAAGTTAAATAAAATAGAGGATACTTAAAACCGTTCAGGTATTCAGAACAAAATTTAAAACTGGCAATGAGAATAAGGTTCTTTAGCTTTCCAGTATCTGCTGAAAGTTTCACTCTGCAAAAGAAATATATTTCATACATTCCTTAGCTGCCTTTCTGATGTGACAACTCCTTAGAAGGCTGAGGAGGCAAAGCCAGCCACAAACTTTCAGTATGAATTTAAAGGGAGCTAGGGGGTGAGAGAGGAGCGAGAATTTTCACAAGAAAGTGACCCTGGCATTTTATATTTTTGACCAACAAAGAATAGAATGCTGGGCATAGCTGAATGTGCATCTTGAGAACTTTAAAAAGCTAATTAGAGAAGGAGAAGGAAAGGAGAAAAGGGATGTCTTAGCCGGAAACGCCAAAGAGTGGAAAGATTAGTCAGTGTTTAATGTATGGTATCATTCCAGATACTTTCACACGGTTACCTTATTTAAATTGATAAAACCATTGTTAGAGTGAGGTAGTTTCAGACTTTCAGACAGTTCGGGAGGGATGACAGGTTGGTACAGGGACATTCTGAGGAATCAAGCACAAATGAGCATGGTGCAGACAAAAGGGGCTGGCAATGCCAACATTACACGTGCTGGAAATTCTCTGATGCAATTTTTAAAAGAGGAGATATACATGATAGAAGTAGGGGGTTGAAAAAATAGTAATCAAAAAAGAATATTTACCTAAAGTTTAGAATGAAGTGTGGCTTGAAAAATACAAAGATTTTAAATGATTTTTTAGACGGTTGCCAAAGCATAGTAAACATAAAGCAGTAAATGTATGATTTAGAGGAGATACTGTAATAATTATAATAGAGAGGGTGTGCAGGACTATTCATCAGCTTTTGTGTTTTGGACTTAACTACCAAAAAGAAGTGAAGTGATTTTTAAATATGGAAAAGTACCTAGCCTAGAGAAATGAAAATCATGACCTCAGCAAAATACCATTTTACATCCATTTGGTTGACACATGTCAATAAGTTATATAATATAAATATTGGTGAGGATGTGGATTATCAGACTCCCTCTTAAACATTGCTGATAGGAATGGAAATTGATGAAATAACTTTGGAAAACAGTGTGACATTTATTGCTTCAGCTGAAAATTTGTACACCCTATAGCACTTGACTTTTGTACAATAGGTGAAATGAATAAGAATAGGCATTTCAATCCCTGTTCACATTAGCAAAAACACAGATGTACACAAAAGCCTATCAATAAAAAAGTAAATAGATAAGCTATGGTATATCCGTCCCCACGGATATAACATAACAATCAAATTCCAGCAACACACAAAAATGGTTGACTCTTAGAAAGCAGTATTAATAAGTAAAGCCCCCAAAATTACATACTGCATATACCCTTTAAAAAGTCAATAATAACCACTATAAGAAAGGGATTGGCAGTAGTGGGAAACTGTAGGGGGGGAGGGGAGGGGCACACCTCATCAACAAGGGTACTTGCATAATCAACGTTTGTATACCTAACCCTGAATTGTATCCCACATCCTTATAATTTTTTTAAAAAGTCAATAACAACAAAAAGTAAAATACATTTAATAAATACATAGAGATAAATGAAAAATATATAAAAAGAAAATCAAGGGCATCTTGAGCTAGTATGATAGTTTCCTTATGTGGGGAACCAGGGTATGGGTTAATGAGAGACCCACATGATAACATGTAAGTTATGTAAATTGTTTCTTGGAGGTGGTGGGTTTAGGGTTAGTTACTACATTATTAGAAATGACTAAGTAACTCACTTTTAAAAAGTAGACTACTGAGAGTAAATCTAATGAATCCAGAGTTATGACTAACCCAACTCCATGCTCCCGAGTTTAAGAAACAAGGCAAATTGAACATTAAAACCCCATAATTAAGATATAAATAAAAGCCTTCCAAAGCACCTGCAATGGTAAAGGAAGACATGAAGACGTACGTCTCTTGAAGTGGGTTCAAATTTCAAGACTCAAGGCAAAAATAATGATGTGAATGCTAAATGACTATTGGTAAACTGAGAAACTATGAAGGCCATGAGATAGTTTCAGACTGCTGGGATATTGATTTTCAAAATGAGAAAAGGCAGCCTCCAGAAACTACTTGCTAGGAAGTTTGATGTCAATCATCAGCAATATTCTAGAACAGGTTACCTAGTAAATGATTGGGGAATACTTATCCACCTATGGCAATTTTAATTTCTAGTCAATATGCCATGCCAATTGTCACAATGTCTCAACTCTTCTCTGTCTCCTCCAACTTTTCTCTTGTGTCTTCCACCTACATCTCAGCTTTAGCAGATGACTGTCCTTTCATCTTCAGAGAGAGCAAGCAAATGAACCTAAAAGAAACCATTTCCATTGTGCCATTATCCTGGCATCCTCTCCGTCTTCCTTTTGTATCTTTTAACTTTTATCTTTTAACCCAGAAATTATTAAACTATGAGTTTAAAGCCCATTAACTGGACATAAAACCAGTTTAGTGATTCATGGTCTAAAACATTTGTTTCTTTAGAGTAGAAAATTTCAGCCTATATTGCTCATAGGAAGAGCATAATTTTTTTTTTAAGATGTGGGGTACGATTCAGGGTGGCTAATTTCTTCGATTTATCAATTTATCATAGAGATGAGGTCTCCAAAGTTGCCCAGGCTGGTCTCAAACCCGTGGGCTCAGGCATCCTCTCACCCCAGCCTCCCAAGGTGCTGGGATTACAGGCTTGAGCCACCGTGCCCAGCAAGAGCATAATTTTATAAAACATCTTTCATGGTATATATTTTTATGCTTCTTTAAATATACAGTTGGCTCTCTCTATACATGGGTTCTGAATCTGTGGATTCAACCAACTGTGGATAGAAAATATTTTGGGAAAAAAAATGTATGGTTATGTTTGTACTGAACATGTAAAGACTTTTTTCTTATTATTATTCCATAAACAATATAGTGTAACTATTTACATAGCATTTATACTGTATTAGGGATTATAAGTAATCTAGAGATGCTGCAAAGTATATAGGAGCATGTATGTGGGCTATGAGCAAATCTATGCCATTTTATATAAGAGACTTGAGTATCCCTGGAGTTTGGTATTCAACGGCAGGGGGTCTGGAACGAATCCCCCATGGATAGTAAGGGACAAACGTTCTAGAGTAAGTGTATTCCTTGCTGTGGGTACAGCTTTTAATAAAATACGAAAGCCACAGTTTTCCCCTCATACTTGGTAACCTGTCTTCTCCTGTAGCTCTCACCAACTCCAGGCCTCACTCCACAAACAATTTCTTTGCCCTTTCTATTGGCTCCTTTTCACCAAGATATAAGAATGCTTAGCTCTCTCTCTCTCATAAAACAAGCAAACAAATGGAAAACAAACAAAAACAGTCCCCCTCAACCTCACAATTCCATCTTGATATTTATCAACTTCTATCTTTCTCCTCCCTCTCAATCTTCACAGTAGAGAAAATCCCTACACTCCATCTCTTCACATCTGAATCACCCCTTCCATACCCACACCATGACACTTTCCCACCCATGACACCCTCCACAATCCTCAGAAACTATTCTCACCCTGCTCAAGTGATATCCATGTAATAAATCCTAAGGAATTTTACATCCTTACCTTGTTCAACCTCTCAGCAGAATATGATTTTGTTGACCACATATTCACTTAATAGCTTCTACACTAGCTTACACTTAGGGTTTTCTCCAAATTTTTTGTGGGCTCCTTTTCTTCTCACTATATCTTACTAATAGGCTTATTCATTCTCTTTCTAAGAGAAGAAAATGAAATACACACTTGGTAAATATTAGCTGTTACTATTTTTGCATGACCAAATTTAACAGGAAAGGCTTCTTTAAGCAGGTCTCACTACCATGCTATGTAACCTGTTCCCAATACTCCTAATAGTTCCTCTACCTAAACTTATCAGTTTTTCTATAATCATTTGCTTAAATTTTATCTTTCCCATAAAACTATAGACTCTAAGAAGGCGTGGTGTGTGCCTTCTTTCTTATTCACATGTTATCTCCAATATCTTGATGCCCAGCAAACATTTGTTGAATGAATGAATGTTTGGAGAATGAAAGAGCTCTTCATAAATAAATAAAGTAAATAAATAAAGCGATTAGCTGTCAAGGAAATTAGAGCAGGGACTCATGCAACAAGTGAAAAGTTGAGATTAATGCCTCCCCCCATGTTTCTAAGATTCAACAATATTTTATTTCACTCCAGAAATACACAAAGTCTTATCCTTTGTCAGATGAAAGTGATTTTCACTTATTAAAATAATATTGAAATCAGGAAGGATATTTATTTACCTTTGCCATAATATCTGCATAAGCCATATATAAAAAATCTTCCTCCAATTTGCTGTGGAAAATAAGAAAAAAAAAATCAGTTTTTAAGTAGAAGGCTAGTCCTATGCAAACATATCATCATTGTATAAATAAACTTTTTTTTTCCCCAACAAGTATGACTTTCTAAAATTAAATGAACACTAAACTTAGGCAATAGTAATCATTCAAAAATATCCTTGAATTAGAAAGCAAAGTTCTCAGGGCTTCTAAATAGCTGTCCCATCTTACCTTACAGAAAGGCCTTCAGTTTTCACAAAATAAGTGGTCTATTGATTTATACACAAATATAATACATTTAATTTTCTTCAGACTACAAAATTTGAAACAAGCAAATTTAAATGAGGTAGGGGCTTTTGACAGCAGAGGTGAAATTTGACATTTGATGGGAAGACTTCCCAAAATGATTACGCTACAGTTAAAAAATAAGATAGTTATAATGAGAACTCTTAAAAAGTAAGAAAAGTTAAAATATGTTTGCTATCTACTTTTTAAGAAGTATGGAAACCATTAACACATGACCAAATGTAACAGGTTTCTATCAAAAAAAAAAAAAACACCTAAAATTTGCAAACTTATTTTAGCAGTTTTAAGCTTCAGCCATGAGAAAAATTCACTTATGAGAAATACCTCATTACCTGACAATGCCAGACAGAGTTGCTCTATGCTTAGGAGTGAGATGATTTTTGTTAGTTCGGAATAATAAGAGAGAGAGAAATAGTGAGAGAAAGGATGGATCACATTAGCTAAAGGGAGAAATGTACATAATTATGGCATGCAAAGAGGTCAAATGAGCTTTCCAGTACTTCTGAGAAGATTCATGTGGTTATGGGCTGATAATTAAATTATTCCCCAGGTTCTATAGCGAACAGGAAAGGCCTGAGGCAAAACAGGCTTGCTTTCACATGGCAGGGATGCAGATAAAGGTTCTGTAACCTCTGCAGAGTCCCCTCTGCAGAGCTAATATATGCAGTGCTCCCTGTAACAGGCAGATACTGAGCACATTTTGATTATTGGGCCTACCAGTGCGTTTCTTATTTAACTCCATAGAAGTTTGACCTTTGTTGCTTTGGTGAATTCACGTGACTAAGATTGCATAAGGAAAGAAAAATGGGCAATGTAGATCTCAGAGATACTTCCAAGCCGAGATAATGGCTCACCTAACCCCTAAAAGTTTCCTAAGACCCACTGCACAATGGAGATACAATCTACCCAGGAAATTTGGGGTCACCATTGGTCTCCACACATTTTTGGCACTTGAATTTGCTTTGAGTTCTCTTATTTGATAATTGTTTTGTGTGATAAAGAGATAAGCCATTTTATAAAAAGGGCCAGAATCAACTAAATCAGCTAGGTGCAAAGTTGCTGAAAACCAGAACTGCTAGGTAGATACTAAAGCCTGAGGTTAAATGAGTGTCGGTCCCCAGGTGCATGCCAGACTGGACATATCTTTGACGAGTCATCTTTCCTAACAAGAATAAGATGAAATTGAAACATGAACACATGACACAGAATACTCAAGACATGGGTGTATCTCCTCCTCCTATGTCTCATAGGAAACCTCCCAACCATACCATTTCTCTGTTAAAGCCGTTCGACTAAACAGGAGGATCAGCTGATGTAGAGGGTCAACTCTCTTAGTGCTTTCATCTTCTTCGGGAGGTTCTGCCCCAGGTTTCTAAAAAAAAAAAAGTCAAATTTATATTCTTTCACATTAAAAAAAAAGTTCTCTCAAACTCAGGAACAATACAAGGGATAGGAACAAAAAAAATAAAAGGAAAGCCTTCTTTCCCTGTTGTAGCATATGTGTGTGTATGTATGTACATGTGTATTTTATATGCATTATTCATGTTATATATGTATATATGTATAGGCATAGCTACGTATGTATATGTTTTGTATACAAGTATATAATCGAATTATATGTAACATAATGTTCATATAAATATAATATAGTGTGTTATGTATCTATTATATGACCAATGTAAAACTATGCAGCTTTAAACTGAGGTATTTAATTCTTTGACCAAAAAATAGTACGGGCAAATATAAATTACACAATTCAAAAATTCTGAATGCCATTCTTATAAGCAGCTTCATAATTAACTGAATGTGTATTTGCTACATAGATTTTTAACTTTACTCAAAGAGCTCAATTTACAAAGATTTGTAATAAAAGCCTAATAGTCACCTCAAGTATGGAAATTTAGTTCACATAGCAAAACAAACTGCTTATAATGTGAAACATTTTTTTTTTCTACACAAATAGATAAGCAAAGAATACTAAATGAGTTAATGCTTGAACTACTTTATTTTTTTTTCATTTTTATTACTTTTAAAATTTAAAAAGTGTATTATTGCATAGAACTGTATAATGAGGAAAGCTATTAGGCATTTTATTGATGGTAGAATTCATTAATCCTGACTTTTTATTGAGTCTTATATCTCCACTGACTTACCCATACAAACTGATTTTCTCTCTACATGCATGGTATTGTTTCCTGTATTAACGGTTTAATGTTGTGAATACCGGGCAGATTTCTAAAAGATATCCAAATATTCTACACTTGTTTTAATTCTGAAGACTACTCAAAATTTCTTTAAAAAATATTGGGGCATTCAGGGTTAGGCTTTTAAGAATTGGATTAATTTATCCATTATATTCCCTAGTAATTTGCAAGTTGAAAAAAATAACATTTAGATAAGAGCTCTTAAACTTAGGTATCATGAAGCAAAATCTGACTAGTCTGCAAAATTTTGTGAGTCTGCTTGTACATTTTCTAGAGAAGATGATTTTTGTAAGGTTTTCAAACAGGCCCACAATGTATAAAGATTATGACGGTCACTCCTTCCCACTGTGTGCTGTACTCTCAGTAACACAAGCCTTTTTATCAGCACTGTCAGATAAAAAATTCTACTTGTCATCCACCATATTTACCATGACTTCCCTCTTTCTGTGTTCAGCCTTTTATCCTCTGCCATGTTTATTTTTAAAAATCGACAACTTTTTGTTAACCTTCAGCTATTTATTTTTGATAAATAACTTCTTTAGGCTTGACTCTTTAATAGTTTATCTTGGTACAGAGGTGTTTTTAAAGTGCTTAAAGGAGGAATTTGAAAGAATACCTGAATCATGTTTAGTTAGTAATAAAGTTGTATTACTCATTTTAAATTCTGAAGAGCTTGTTATTGATGAGATCTCTTGGGAATAAGAATAGTGAATATTTGTAAACATTGAACACAGAACAATTAAGATAAAAACATTTTCTAATACCAATATACTGCAATAATGTTTTTTCCTGTGAAGTCTATGACAACTGCTCATACCAAGATTGCTGCACCAAGCCCAAACCCTCTTTCATTTAATAATGCCATTAAAGACATACTGCTAAATCTTCTATCAGTTTATCTTCAAAGTAATGCTCTTCTGTTTCAATCCAAGATTTTTCATATCCCTGAAGAAAGAGGTTGACAGCACGATGCCTAAAAGATAACCATAATTTCAAAAATAGTTTTTAACCAATAAGTTGAAAATGTGTTGACTATTACTTTATTACTGCATTATCTATGCACTAAAAAAATAAAATTAAAATAAACTTCTTATTCTTGATCCCCCTGTTGAGGGTAACACTTTACAGCAAATAAGAGTAGGGTTTCTTGGGGCACACATTGACTTGCATTTAAATCTTATCTCAGTCATTTTAAGTTTTGTAACATTGGTCAAGTTGCCCAACTTTTCCAACTTTCAGTTTTGTCATTTTTAAAACTAGGCTGGGTGTGGTGTCTCACATCTGTAATCCCAGCACTTTGGAAGGTTGAGGCGGGCAGGTTGCTTGAGCCCAGGAGTTCGAGACTAGCCTGGGCAACATAGTGAAACCTCATCTCTCATTCAGTATACTTCAGGGTACAAGTCACTAATCCAGGTGCTGAAGATATAAAACCAAACAAAACTCTAAAGCATCCCAAAGTCTGAATCAGAGAAACAAATAACCCCAATACTGAAGGAAAGTGCTACAACCAGGGGTATGACTTGCAAGGAGTAGGAAGGCATGGCTTGGTCAGAGACATTCCAAAAGAGATATGGCTGAGTTGAGTCCTGTTACCAGACATAGGGATGATGTGACTTGTATAAAATTCAGAGTGGGGAAAAGCACAGTTTCTTAGGAGAACGGCAAGAAAGCTGAAATGGTGCTCTGGACCACCAAACCAGACTTGAATGTGCCAGGTTACTTCTCTATTAACAAGTATTTCCACTGTCCCTCTAGAAGAAGGCTGATGAGCCTGTCAAACGTATTTACATTAGTCCCATAAGTCTGTGCCATAATAGTTCTTTTCCTCAAATGCTATTTACAAAAATAACAATGACTAACATTAATTGTGACATAAACATACGAGCTTACTTCTAAGCACTCTGTAACACAGATACTCATTAAATAATCTGAACAGTTCTAGGAGGCTGGTCCCATCACAATACAGATGAGAAAAATATAAGTTCAGTAAGTAACTTGACCATGTCATATAGCAGAGAAGTTGAGATGCCAGGATTCAAATCAAAGCAAGTCTGACACCAAAGAATGAGTTCCTAATTATTCTATCTTGTCTCACATATGTGAGCAGATATTCCTCAGTAGAAAAGTCATTTAACAGTGATATTTGCAGATCACACGTCTCTGAAAATATCCATTGCAGTTAGTCAAGTATTACACAGCAAAACCAACGAATTCCTCCTATCCTTCTCCTGGACTACTGTACTTATGTTAAGGTAAATCCTAGGCACCTATTATTTATTACGGAAAAAATAACTTTCATCTATTATAAACATTAAAAAGTTCTAACCTTGGCAGATTATATAAGGGAGCCATTCGGAAGCAGGCTACCACTGCCCTTTTCCTCTGCTTGGAGAGTAGTTTATGCCATACAGCCTTTTTAGATCTCTGAGGATGTTCCACCTAGAAGCAGAATGACACAAATCAACAAACATACTCCAAACTACCCTCAAAAATACAGTATCAAACAGCTGCACCTTTTAAGTAACCTAATTTGGTTAAAGTACTTTAAGATTATGATGGGAAAGTCTACCTCCTAAGCTGAATTTGAGATAGTTTCAAATACCACATCATTTCCTTAGTAAAAAGAGCTTATTTTCTCAACAGTGGGTGCTTCAGAAGCTATGTGATCTCTAAAATTAAAGAATGTGATATCATCGTACGTAAAATAATTTTGCCTCCTTCTCAACATTCTCTTTTGTTCTTTAAGGTTTTTAAGACATATTTTTTGCCTATACAAGAAATCATCTCCTTCTTAACGATGTAGCCATTTTAACTAATTTTACCATAAGAGTTAAAAAAACAAATATAAATAGAGACAGTTAGAGAAAATTTTAATGAAAATTCTGCTGCTAACATAATAGATGAAGACAAGATGACAAGGCTTTGTGAACACAGTATTAGGAATGAGTAAGCAGATTTAATTTTACAAAAATGTTAAAATACAGAATTATTTTGTTAGAGACACATGAGAATTCAAAAGTTGCAATAAATGATACAGCCAAGCTGCTTATTTAACTAATTGTGTTTGGAACTCCAAGAGGAAAAACAGATTAAGCATAAGTATTAGAAAGATAAAAATCCCAGTATATGATTCTAAATTGATTAGTAATCTGTAGGCAATTGAGCACTATACTTCCCAGACTGTAATATCTCCGGGCCACATATTTAGATTTCTGAAAGAAATTAAAATGTTGTTAGCTAAAAAAGGAAACATAAATTCACTGTCCTTTACAGTAGAGGGTCAAATTATGAAAATAATAATGTGTCAAGGAAACATTTACAATGTTTGGACAATGGTAGCTTGGAAATTTTACCAAATTTGTTCAATTGCAAAGCACTTATTTCTGTGACCCTCTTTCTGCTGTAGGATCAATCCTTTCTGACAAATGTCCACTTCAATTTTCTTCTTGATCAGAGTTTAACAAATGATTGTTAAGCCTTAACACTGAAGCAAAATAGAATCAAGGGTAATGTTTTCAATTAGACACAACACACTTCAATTTAAAGTTCCATTTTGAGATCCAAGTCTGTAATGCTGCCACATGGTAGTTGTTTTACAGGAATACAGTATTCTGATCAGCACAATGACAGTCAACAGACATATATAAAGTACCAAGGCACTGAAGATACAGTAGAAAAGAAAAAGCTTCTGCTATCATGAAGTTTATCAGTTGGCAGAGCATTTTATTACACAAAGAAAAACACCTTACTTAAATAGTGGGTTTTCTTGTAAATCAAGTAAATAATTATCTGTAAGATCTGTAATCAAAAGTGAATGCCAAGATGAACCTTGTAACTAAGCTCACGTGTTTGATGTGCTGATGTGTTAGCTTGGCTAAAGTTTGAATATTAGAAAATCCAGAGGAGGTAGCCTACTCTCATGAGAATTGCCAGAGGTGCAAGATAATATAAATCTAAAAAGGTTGCTGATATTTAAGATAAATTAAATCAACTCAAATCATCAAGTATTTCCTGTATACCTACTGTTTTTGCACTGACTCTAGCAAGTTAAAATATTCTTTGCAAACTATTCTGTGACTGTTACAAATTAACATTAGAATAAAAGGTATTCAAAGCATGAATTCTACACACAGCTATCTCTCACTGTTTTCTTGATAGTTGACAATTTCTTTTTACTAAAAAATCCTCTTCTCATGATAAACCAACCTTGCCATATCCTTAACATTTTGAAGAATACTAGACCTTAAGTAGAATACTAGGCCTTGGTTTTCTAAATAATTCCTCCTTCTCCTTTAAGATTAGCACAGGGATCACTTACTTCAGACCTGCATTAAGTTTGGGCTACTTCTATACCTTCTTCAGCACATTTTATATTCTTCCATATCCATATTATTATGTATTTATCTGTTTATGTGTCTATGTCCTCTCTTAGAGCATGAGATGCTCGAGCCCAAGGAACAGTATTCCATTCCCAGGACCTGCTGAGTATAATGCTGCCATATGGTAGTGCACTCAACAAACATCCAAGGCATAAATGGATGCTTAGAAAAATGAATCTCATTTTAGAAATGTCATCATTTATCATGATTGGATATATTTATTAATATATAACCTACCACAGTATAATAAAATATAATCAGATTTCAATAAGCTTCACTTAATGTATCTCAAATTCATTCAAACAAGTCTAGATATGCATATGAAAACCAGGAAGAATTAAAAACTTATGCTAGAGTAATGCTGCTAGAAATGATTCTCCAGTAGCCATTTAATTAACATTTAATAATCTTCTTAAATTTGTACATAATTCTGGAAACACAACACTATGACTTTACATAAATCACTTAAAATTCTATTACCTCAAGTCTTGTCATCTACTGATTGATAAGTTGTATTTATTTAATATTTCACAAAAAGATTATGTAAGTGTTTAGGGAAGAATATTAAGTTCCAAGGTTTTATATAATGTAAATACAAGTTAATAGCCATATGGTCTAAGAGTACTCCAGTTACTTTAATCTCATCAAGTGTCCTGATAAATTGCATGATGGTGGAGAAGTTATTAGCATTTGGGGGAGGGCATGTGAGTAAGCAGGAAGGAAATTAAAAATTATAATACAGTTGATGATAACCGTGTCTTATTTACCTAGCCAGGACAGTGGTGACAGTCCAGATAATATAAAATAGGGATCAAAGCAAAGTGTTTATTATTGCTGTGTTAATATGGTCAAATGCTGCTAAAGGAGATACAAGTTAAACAAATATTTTTCAAAACATTTAGGTGGCAAACTCCCTGAGGTGACATAGGGCATTTTATTATTTTATGTTTAGAATAAAGTAACCATGTCAGGCAGGTTCTGCCATAAGGGCCCAATGACAGATTATACTGCTGAATTCATACTGAGCTGCTTCCCTCTGTTGTGACTTTGCTGAATGGACTTTTTGAGAAATAGAGAATATGTCTCTGTGACACCCCTTTAACAAAAATCTGACCCTGTGATTGATGAGGTTTCAAGTATTACTGTTTTAGAAATTCTTGTACAAAGGTAATGAATAAGAAAACCAAACACACAGTGAGCTTTGTGGTATAAAATAGGATACAACTGAAAAATTATATAAAAACTTTTCTCAAATGATTTTAATATCAATACATTGCTCTTCCCTAAATGTAATTTGTTCCTGAGCTCAGAGAAAAATAGCTCACAAATATCTGTAATAAAAATACTTCAAATATTAAACCAGTAAAAGGTATCATCTCAAACATGTTAAGAGCAGTAATAAAAAATTATGCAAGCATAAAATATTTGGAATAGCCTGTAACTTCTGAATTCGTTTTTATAATGATTTAGAATTAAGTGTGTGATCCTAATTGTCTGTATAACTTTGGAAATATTTTGAAAAAGACAATAAAACAAAGGCCTTGATCTCCCCAAATACATTATCTATACACTGCTACAAAACTATAAGCTTAGAAATTGTGTTTATTAAATACTAAGCACTCCTGACTCATATAGTCTTTATAATGAATATGCTGAATATATGTGTTTTCTGGCCCATACTTAATTAGCATAACATTCTCTCTTAAAAATATTTGTATATGAGTGAATCAAAACAAAATCTGACCTGTTCAAGATGAAAAAGCACATTTGCTATATCCAATACTCTTTCTATAGTCTTCTCTGGATCCGAGGTATCATCGGTTCTGTTTGGTAAGTCTTTGTAAAGAGCCATTTGCCACCTAATTGCAGGATCCTCTAACTGGAGAGAAAAGAAAAAAAGTATATACAATACAAAGTTATAATCCAAAGACAGGAAGGGTTGATCGACCATTACTTATTGGGCATAGCACAACGTTAAAACACTATGCAGAATTGCAGGTATGCCGGATGAATACGTCTAGAGATCTAATGTACTATGTTGTGACTGTAGTTGATAATACCGCATTGTATATTGGAAATTTAATAAGAGAGTAGATTCCAGGGGCTTTTATAACAAATACACACAAGAAAGTAATTATATGAGGAGATGGATATGCTAATTTGCTTGACTGTACTAATAGTTTCCCTAGGATATGTATATCAAAACATCATTTTGTACACCTTAAATCTCTACAGTAAAACAAAACAAAACTATGATGAAGAGAGCAACACAGATGAGGTCCTTGTGCTCATAACATTTATTGCCTGGTGGGAAAAGAAAGACATTAAACAAATATTTACAACTGTGATGAAGGCTACTAAAAATAAATACAAGGTACTCTGAGATTTCACCTACGTTGTTGGTGGATGAAAAGATTTCTCTAAATAAGTGAAGCTGTGACTAGGCTTTAGGATGGGTTGGAGATAGTCAGGAAAAGGAAATGGGTAAGGTCACCCTTGATCTTTCTCTTCTCCATTCACAATATAACAGTTGAAAGATTTACATGTTTTCTTTTATGGGCAATTATACAAGATCACATTTATCTATAAATATAGGGACTTTACAGGAGAGCTTAGTCTCAATGAAACAGATTAATATAAATCAAAGAGGCCTATAAAATCCTACTCTTATCATAAAGGAATTTATACATTTTACATTTTAATACTGTCAAATTTCTTCAGTGAAAGATATAACCAAAGTCTTCATGTTTTTTTTTTTTTTTTTTTTTTTCATTAATCAGTAGTTTTTATTATGGTTTTGTGGGGTACAGTTAAGGGTAGGTGTACAATGACGTTTCATTCAGGCACCCTGTAGATAAGAAGTGTTTTCCCATCCCCCGACAGATATTTGCTACTGTTAATCCCATCCCCCTCCCCCCCATAGTTTCCCAGT